TCATTTTCCAAAGCCAGTAAAGTAACCTTCATGGTTACTTCAGTAACAATATAATCAGGTAAGAACTTGATGTAGGATAATACAGTACAACTATAATATGATCAGGTAGTACAGTACAACTATAATATAATCAGGTAAGAACTTGATGTAGGATAGTACAGTACAACTATAATATGATCAGGTAGTACAGTACAACTATAATATGATCAGGTAGTACAGTACAACTATAATATGATCAGGTAGTACAGTACAACTATAATATAATCAGGTAGTACAGTACAGCTATAATATGATCAGGTAGTACAGTACAACTATAATATGATCAGGTAGTACAGTACAACTATAATATAATCAGGTAGTACAGTACAACTATAATATGATCAGGTAGTACAGTACAACTATAATATGATCAGGTAGTACAGTACAACTATAATATGATCAGGTAGTACAGTACAACTATAATATAATCAGGTAAGAACTTGATGTAGGATAGTACAGTACAACTATAATATAATCAGGTAAGAACTTGATGTAGGATAGTACAGTACAACTATAATATGATCAGGTAGTACAGTACAACTATAATATGATCAGGTAGTACAGTACAACTATAATATGATCAGGTAGTACAGTACAACTATAATATGATCAGGTAGTACAGTACAACTATAATATGATCAGGTAGTACAGTACAGCTATAATATGATCAGGTAGTACAGTACAACTATAATATGATCAGGTAGTACAGTACAACTATAATATGATCAGGTAAGAATTGATGTAGGATAGTACAGTACAACTATAATATAATCAGGTAAGAATTGATGTAGGATAGTACAGTACAACTATAATATGATCAGGTAAGAATTGATGTAGGATAGTACAGTACAACTATAATATGATCAGGTAAGAATTGATGTAGGATAGTACAGCACAACTATAATATGATCAGGTAAGAATTGATGTAGGATAGTACAGCACAACTATCAAATAATCAGTTCAAAGTTTTATGAGATAACATGAACACACCTTTTCGTTTCAATATTGATCAAATTATCAACTACCAAAATCTTAGAACTTGCCATGATATCATGATAAAACACAAATAGGTAAAGGGATACATCATCAAATTAAACATGGAGTCTTAATTAATTAGATCTGGAAAAAAAATCCAAGACAGCCATCATTCAAATTATGGAAAGTGTGTTCCCTACTGTTCAGTCATCAGTGGGTTTAATCTATAGCTCCACAGAGACATGATTCTAATTAGGAATCCTATGTAAATCAGGAGAGACTCCATTTAGAGAGGCCCTCCACAGTAGGACACCTAGAAACCACTCTATTGCTTGGTGGAGCCATGCTGGGGGAATCTGGGGGAGGCAGAAAGGCCATCTCCAGAAGACATCTGCTGGTCAGCAGGATTCCTAGTGACCTGGCATGATACTATGACCACAAATCTTTTATGTGACAAATGTCCCAATGGCACCTTAGTAATCAGGGTGGTGCTAAAATGGTTCTCTTAATCTGCCTTATAAACATAAAAACAAAATTTTTTATATATTACAAAATGCAATCTTGTTTTTATTGTAACAATTTTTTTTTTTTTGATAATTCCATGTTATCATGAATATATTTCTTAAAACATCCAACTAATTAAGTTTATTATCAAGCATCTGCCTGCACCTGGTAATAAACTGCTCAAGTTATTACTGTTTAATTGAAGATTAATCTTGGTTTAGATATAGAAACTTACAAGCTATGTCTGGCCTGGAATAAAAAATCTGTAAGCACAGCAGATAATCTGTGAGAGACTCTGACAATGTTTATTAATTGGAACAGAAGGGTAACCTGTGAGGCTGAGTATTGATGTGTTTACAACAAGTGTTTGGTGGAGATGTGCTGAGTAAGCACACTATCAACAATATAGTTTACGATGACATCTTTGATGTGGCCAACTACTTTCTTCACTCCCCTGTCCTTCCTCCACATTATGTAACTTGTAAAAAACATTTACATTTTCATCAGAAACATACATATATAAACAGCCATCCAAACTTACAGGTAGCCCTGTCAAATAAATTGCCTGCCATTCGTGTTCTACACATAAACAAATAACATGGCTAATGAGATAGGGTATTTATTTTTTGGGTGATCTAAGCGATATGGTAACTTGGTCCATTCGGTTTCCATTTTCTGGTGCTTTAACATCAGTGACTATACCTCACAGCTCATGTTTACATCACTTACTGCCAAACTATAAATGTAACCTGCCAAAGCTTATATAGTGTGTTTTGTTGGGTATTGAGTTTTATCATTGTCATTATCAGCTTTCTTTTTTAACAGTGATGAACAGGAATTTATTGAACTTAAATTTCACTTATTAACAAATTGGCAAAAAAGTACTGAAAAGGTAATTAGATTTCAAGTGAAGGTAATAGATGTCTAAAAAAACCTGCCAAATGTTCATGTTCACCTTGGAACCAGTTCTTCTTTATTTATCGTAAATGTTGCTATTTCAATCACTTCTTTGAATGATACACCTTATAAACATGTTTTAAAGTGTGCCTCATCCTTTCTACTTTTATGTTTTACAGTAGTTAGTATAAAACCAAATGAATGGTCTGAGGTAATAGAGAATATCTAGTAACCACTAAAGATTAACATGACAACAATAAGCACTAGATTATAGACTCTACATAACAGGTTTAACTATCAGATATACATTATAGACTCTACATAACAGGTTTAACTATCAGATATACATTATAGACTCTACATAACAGGTTTAACTATCAGATATACATTATGAATCCACATAACAGGTTTAACTATCAAGATATACATTATAATCATACATAACAGGTTGAAATAAGATATACGCTTTGCTGCACCATGTGACATATTTTTCAAAGCAAATACATTATGCTACATAACAGGTTTAACTATAGATATACATTATAGACTCAAAATCCCTTTGAACTTGATATACATGTGTCAGTGTCTACATAACAGGTTTAACCTGATATAAGGTCCTTCTGTCAGACAGTGTCTAATGTATAGTATCCTATATATTAATACAGACTGTTTGGACAGCGTGACTCTAGCGTTCCCTATGTATCTACCAATGTTTCTCACTGGTCAGTCTGTCAGAACTGTATAGGGTACATTTCCAGAACATTTTACCATTGGAAATATGTAACATATTCCAGCATATTCTCCAGCTTTCCTTGGCAAACCTCCCAGTATATTTCAAGGTCAGCAACCCTCGCCTTTGATAGCTACTTAGTAACTTGTTTCTAATTTGTGTTTACTTCTCTCAATTACAACCTTTTCCATGTAGTTAAAGTATGGATGGGTAATTATAACAGACAGGTCAATGATACCATATCATTAATACAAACACAACAAAACACCCGAAACACACAGAATGTCACCTACACAGGTATTACAACACAGAATGACAACTACACAGGTAATACAGCACAGAATGTCACCTCCACAGGTATTACAACACAGAATGTCACCTTCACAGGTATTACAACACAGAATGTCACCTCCACAGGTATTACAACACAGAATGATACCTACACAGGTATTACAACACAGAATGATACCTACACAGGTATTACAACACAGAATGATACCTACACACCTACACAGGTATTACAACACAGAATGATACCTACACAGGTATTACAACACAGAATGATACCTACACAGGTATTACAACACAGAATCACACCTACACAGGTATTACAACACAGAATGATACCTACACACCTCCACAGGTATTACAACACAGAATGTCACCTCCACAGGTATTACAACACTGAATGATACCTACACAGGTATTACAACACAGAATCACACCTACACAGGTATTACAACACAGAATGATACATACACAGGTATTACAACACAGAATGATACCTACACACCTACACAGGTATTACAACACAGAATGATACCTACACAGGTATTACAACACAGAATGATACCTACACAGGTATTACAACACAGAATGATACCTACACAGGTATTACAACACAGAATCACACCTACACAGGTATTACAACACAGAATGATACCTACACACCTCCACAGGTATTACAACACAGAATGTCACCTCCACAGGTATTACAACACAGAATGATACCTACACACCTACACAGGTATTACACCACAGAATGATACCTACACAGGTATTACAACACAGAATCACACCTACACAGGTATTACAACACAGAATGACACCTCCACAGGTATTACAACCTATCTTTGATATCATACTGACAATCCAGATTTCCAACACAATTATTCACTATTTCCAAAGAATTTCAGTACCAATCAATAACGTTTATTGTATAACTGTCCTGTTTTGTCATGTCATATCATATTGAGTAATAAAACTACTGTGACATCATAATCATGTTATGTATTGATGATGTCACATGATTGTGTCTGTAGTAAAACACATACTGTTTATCTGTTACAGAACTTTGTTTAGGAGTTTCCCCTTATTATTCAGAAATAGCTATAGTGTAAAAATAATCTTATACTTGTGTCACTGTAATATGGAATTTATCAGATAAATCCAAAAACTTCAACTAAAGACTTGTGATTTATCAAATTAAACTTACTGAATAAATTCCACATAACACTGACACCGATATTAAAACCTCTGTTTATAAAACATTATTAAATGATAACCAACTTAAAAGTAGGTGTAATTGTCCTTTCTAAAATTGTATGCTCTCCTTGATAAAGAACATGTCAGTATTATGCTATATAAAATTGTATGCTCTCCTTGATAAAGAACATGTCAGTATTATGCTATATAAAATTGTATGCTCTCCTTGATAAAGAACATGTCAGTATTATGCTATATAAAATTGTATGCTCTCCTTGATAAAGAACATGTCAGTATTATGCTATATAAAATTGTATGCTCTCCTTCATAAAGAACATGTCAGTATTATGCTATATAAAATTGTACTTACCGCCAACTGATGGTGTTGTGGTGTTCTGAACGAGACAAGTCATTCTTTATCTCTGTAGTTTGTTAATAAATAGTTGAATAAATTAAATAAATTATTAAATAAATAAATAAATTCACACTTTTTTATCTACATTGTCCACACATTATATACACTGTCCCCAGTACATATGGACACATCCCTCACTGACTGGGTACTACTGGTAAGTCCAGACTTGGTACTGATAAGTCCTGTGGCTCCTGATGATCAGCCAGCCAGTCAGCTGTTTACCAGCCCAGCTGGGGGTCTAATCAGCTGATATTGGTGTTTCAAGTCACCCTCCTCATAGGTCACACACAACACCAAGTCCAATGCCAGTCACACAGACCAAGCTTTGGTACCAGTCTAAGGGTCTTTATACCAACAGTATAAAAACAATTAACTTTAGGTGAAATGTTTTATGTAGAGGTTACAGCATCAGATTCTGGTATGTTGATGGCGGTCGATGTGTTAGATGTCCTTGGGTATCCTACTGCTGCCTGGTCAGTGTGATGGTATGGTATGGAAAGATGACTATTGTTAACCATTTCTGACCCTTTGGTGACATGTGGGTACACTACTTAAGTCCAACCCAGCTGCCTGGCCAGGCAGACTAGCAGTGTGTACTGCTACTCACCATCCACCAGTGCCAGGGCAGGCACCATTCTTTGAGAGGGGAGAACTCATATGTGCTCTCTCTGCTAAAGATAACAGCTGAGTCTGGTCGATCTTATTCCTCAATAAGTGCTAGGTAGCTCTGGTATAATGGCATCCAGCCTAGTGTTGGAGGGGAGAGAGTCCAGTCAAGGTAAACATCCCCTAATACCTATCCACTAACAGTCCAGGTGGTGTTGATTAGTCCTATGTCAGTACATACATACAACAAATATCTCAAAGCCTTTTTCCTACCCCAAACAACAGGACCACTTCAAATTCTAGCTATGGTGGGGGTTAACTGGTACAGACAATCCAATATTTTCATTAGAAAGTCATGATCATCCCACCTTGATCATGGAAAAAAATACCTAGTTACTACAGTCCTTATCACAGAGCTCTGACCAAGAGAACAGCATCCATCACTTACAACCCTTTATCTGTCACTACAGCCCTGTATTACATGGCCTTGACGAGGGCAAAGAATACCTAGTCACCAGAGCCCTTTATCACAGGGCCTTGACCAGGGCAAAGAATACCCAGTCACCACAGCCCTTTATATGTCACTACAGCCCTTTATCACAGGACCTTGACCAGGGCAAAGAATACCTAGTCACTTCAGCCCTTTATCACAGGGCCTTGACCAGGGCAAAGAATACCTGACCAGGGCAAAGAATACCTAGTCACTACAGCCCTTTATCACAGGACCTTGACCAGGGCAAAGAATACCTAGTCACTTCAGCCCTTAATCACAGGGCCTTGACCAGGGCAAAGAATACCTAGTCACTACAGCCCTTTATCACAGGACCTTGACCAGGGCAAAGAATACCTAGTCACTTCAGCCCTTAATCACAGGGCCTTGACCAGGGCAAAGAATACCTTGTCACTTCAGCCCTTAATCACAGGGCCTTGACCAGGGCAAAGAATACCTAGTCACTACAGCCCTTTCTATGTCACTACAGCCCTTTTACCTTGACCAGGGCAAAGAATACCTAGTCACTACAGCCCTTTATCACAGGGCCTTGACCAGGGCAAAGAATACCTAGTCACTTCAGCCCTTTATCACAGGGCCTTGACCAGGGCAAAGAATACCTAGTCACTACAGCCCTTTATATGTCACTACAGCCCTTTATCACAGGACCTTGACCAGGGCAAAGAATACCTAGTCACTACAGCCCTTTATCACAGGGCCTTGACCAGGGCAAAGAATACCTAGTCACTACAGCCCTTTATCAAAGGACCTTGACCAAGGCAAAGAATACCTAGTCACTACAGCCCTTTATCACAGGACCTTGACCAAGGCAAAGAATACCTAGCCACTACAGTCCTTTATCACAGGGCCTTGACCAGGGCAAAGAATACCTAGTCACTACAGCCCTTTATCAAAGGACCTTGACCAAGGCAAAGAATACCTAGTCACTACAGCCCTTTATCACAGGACCTTGACCAAGGCAAAGAATACCTAGCCACTACAGCCCTTTATCACAGGACCTTGACCAGGGCAAAGAATACCTAGTCACTACAGCCCTTTATCACAGGACCTTGACCAGGGCAAAGAATACCTAGTCACTACAGCCCTTTATCACAGGACCTTGACCAAGGCAAAGAATAACTAGCCACTACAGCCCTTTAGTATAACATGGACCAAGTCAAAACATACATAGTCACTTTAGGCATTAATTATATGGACTTAACCATATAACGTAGGGCCTTTATCAGGGCAAAAATCCTAGATTACTTCTATCCATTTATCAGAAGGCCTTAACCAGTGCAAACACATCTAGTCCCTTCAGCTTCTTAACACCTGGCATCAACCAAGACAAAACAAATAACTATACACATTGTTCCCCCTAGTTAAATGGCTCAGACTGGGCTGGCTAAATAAAATAACTTTTCTTTTGTATTTTTTTTTTTGATTTGGAATATTTTTCAAAATACACCACATCAGCATAATAATACATCTGTACACATGATGACAAATATCCATTCAATGATAAGATGTACATGTCTTGTCAGCAGTAGGGGTACAGGAAGTTGTCCAGACTTATCACGCCTCCATTATCTATATCTTGTTATGACCACAACGACGACGTTCAAACAAGGCCACATTAGCCTTACTGTTAATTCTGATCACTACACTGACCAGGAAAGACATCTTAATATAGCTTGTCAATACCTACTGGTAAGTCAATTAAGTCTATTCTGTATCAATAATAAATAACTTCCCATTGACATAAAACTTGGATTTGTTAAGCCCAGAAACAACATTTCTTTTATTCCATTACTAAACAGGAATAAAGATGTGCTATACAGCTGCTACATATGAAAACATTTTCTTTCTTTTATCCCTTAACAGTTGGCATAATTCTGAAAAAGGTGAACATTTGAAAACAAGAATAAACAGAAGTACATGTACTACAGTGGTTTTACTGGTCTCCTTACCATCACACATTGTTGTAAAAACAAAGATGATCATTAATGTCAAGACAAGATATTCTGGATTTCCAAACCCAGTCTAGTACAAGTAATATGTTCCAGGAAAATTAACTTCAATCAAACAAGAGAAAGAAAAGTTCTACCTGAACATAGCAGCAACATACTGAAGGTATAAGACACAGGACAAATGGGTATGTAGCATCAATATGTTTTAGTTTTTGTGTAGATGACGATCTACAGACAGCACATTTAAGTCAATTCTAAAATATAATGCCAAATGAAAACATCAGATTCAAGTATATATTTTTACTATTTTGATAAACATCTAAGGAATTCTAATAAATCTGAGTGGGAAATAAATACTTGTTTTTTGTGTATTCAAGTTTCCTGTTTCATTTGTGTATTACAGCATTGAAGATTCTCCAAGAAATTGAATGGTTGTTGTGTTTATGAAATGATTGATACCGGATACTGTTACTGTACATAAAACAAGAGAAAAAATCTACTACAATTCAACATGAATTACAACCAAGTGTAACTTTACGATGACATTTGGTATATCACAGGAATGTCATAACCATAACATTCTCCACACCAAACATTTATTAAAATTACAAAATCATCTCTGCTGGAATGTGTTGATAATGAAAGTCAGCACTACACTTAAACTAAAAGTTTGTAATATATACAAAAGCTACAATTACAAGTATTTGGCACAAGCTAGAGGTGACCCCTCATCCCCTCCCTATACAGGAGATCTCTATTGGTTGCTACCATCCTTAAGAGTAACCACAATGTCCCCTTCCAGCAGATGTTCCAATGAATGGACATGACACTGCCTCTAATGGGTCCCGGATGTTTATAATTCCTTCCAAGGCTTGTAGGAATCTTAGAAAAAAGGAATTTGGGCCTATTGGTGTAGAGATGCTACAGTAATCTTAACATATACATGCCACAGAAATATAAACATTAAGTGCATCAGGAAAAGGGAAAATTTTATTACTAAAACAAAACTACTGTAATAATCAAATATTTCTCCATTTCAGGAAATTGGAATAAATCAGCATTTTGAATTGTCAAAATCATTTTGAGCAAAGTTTGAATTTTGACTTATAACGACAAACTTAGAATTCAAAGTAAATTACCAACTACCAATATAGACAGAATACCTTGACAGTTAGGTGTAAGTACGGTGTTTTTTTCTGATAATATGACGTCAATTGTTATGTAAACATGTCAAGGGAAATAACTCTGAACAGATAATAACTACTGACATGACAAGACTCACACTCCTAGTTTACCTTCCCTACATATATAATCAACATATTTAAACAATTTACAACAATTTAAAACAAAAGCAGCATTTCATGTAAACAAAGGGAAAAATTTATCCACACAACACAAGTATTGGTTTATCAGATCAGAGTTTACTTAAGAGAAAAACAAAAAAAATAATTAAAATTTTCTTCTGAACACTCTGATGGAAGTTGGTATGAGAACTGTTTATAAACAGAGATCCAGAATTAATGTATGATAACACTCAATGTATCACTAGGTCAGTAATAAGACTGCCAAGTTCTTTGTATCTGCCAGCAAAAGCTTTAATTAACAAAGTGTCACAGGCCATTCCATAGCAATAGTTCTTAAATATCAGTAAACTCCTGCAGGGCATAATTCAAGATTTCAGATAATTATGAACTGTTTGGTTCTGATACAATTCTGTGTATAACAACATTAATGCAGCATTTGCCTTAATAGTTGACACCATTACAAACACGTAACTGCAATATCACTTCAGTCATCACCAACGTGAACAAACAGGTTGTTTCTATCTGATAGGACCAGTCACAGTAGTTATCACTTCTGAGCACATATTAAAACCTTTGTTTTTTTCCCTCCAGAACATCTCCATCATTATAACATTTCTTGTTTCCTATCTGGAAGTATGATTACACATCCTATAGATCCGACTCGGTAATTAAGAACTCATCTGTTAACAAACTCTG